AACAAGGTTCTTGAAGACGTTTGGAGTGACAAACGACCATTAGTGAGTCATGTCAAGGTGTTTGGCTCTATGTGTTACAAGCATGTTCCTAATGCTAGAAGAAGGAAGCTTGATGACAAAAGTGAACCTATGATTCTGGTAGGATATCAAAAATTTGGTGCATACAGGCTGTTCAATCCAATTAATAAGAAGATCATGATGAGTTGAGATATTGTGATTAATGAAAACTATTCTTGGGATTGGAATTCTAGTGATGCAATCAATAAGCCTTTGATGAGCTGTGGTTTCGATGAAGTAAGTAATGATGCCGAAGTTGAAGATATTATTGATATTCTAGTCGAAGTCGAAGCAGTTACTGACATGCTCGACACAGTCGAAGCCGAAGATGATATAGCTAGTACTAGTCAAAGAACTCAAAGAACTAGAAGCTTAAACGATAGTGAAGCCAATAAACTATAGCGAAGCCTTAAACGATAAATAATGGAAGTTAGCTATGGTTGAAGAGTTACAAGAAAATAAAAGAAACAACAAATGGAGTTAGTCAAATTGTCGACACATATAAAAGCTACCAAAATGAACTGGCGTTCAAGTTGAAGCATAATATTGATGGATCAATAGCAATACATAAGGCGAGATTGGTCGCTAGAGATTTTCTTCAGAGAGTAGAAGTCGACTATTCTGAAGTATAAGCATTAGTAGGAAGATTGGAGATTGTTCGACTAGTAGTTGTCTTGGCATGCAATAAAGGTTGTCGACATTTCACTTAGATTTCAAATTAGCATTTTGAATGGTCCTCTAGATGAAGAGGTATATGTCACATAACTTTATGAGTTTGTCATTTAGGAGGAAGCAAGGAAAGTATTCAAGTTGCATAAAGCGCTTTATAGTTTTAAGTAGGCACCTAGGGCATTGAACAAGAAGATCGACTCATACTTGATGGAATTGGGATTTATCAAATGTAAATCTCAGTATGGTGTCTATGTTCAGATTGTGGCACAAGATATAACAATCATATGCTTATATGTTGCTGACTTGTTAGTAATTGAAAATAGCTTGGAGAACTTATTGAAGTTTAAAGAGCAGATGAAGAAGGAATTTGAAATATCGGATCTGAGAAATTTATCGTACTTCCTAGGCATGGAATTTCAAATGTTGGAGCTAGATTTCACTTCTTAAGGGGGGGGGGGGGGGGGTAAATCGAGGTGAACTTGAAGTAAGGCATTGCTCAAGTGAAGCACAATTGGCTGACATTTTCACCAAAGGATTGAAGGTCGACAAATTCCTGAATTTGAGAAAGAAATTAGGAATAGTTATGATCGACAATGATTAGCGTATGTTTGACAACTTGGATTATTGGGGGGTATGTTGAGATATAATATAATCCAAGTTGTGTGGTCCAAGCCCAAAGTTAATTAGGGTTTAGGATTTATTACTTAGTTTGTTATATTTGTTACTTAGTAGTCAAGTCACTTACGTGTGTGTGTGTGTGTGTGTGTGTGTGTGTATATATATATATATATATATATATATATATATATATATATATATATATATATATATATATATATATATATATATATACTTTGTAATTTAGTTTTGTAACACAATCATTCAATAATATTACTCCATATTTTCATACTCTCTCTCCTCACTACAAATGCCTCACGCACTAACAAATTATCTCCTTTACTCGAACCAAAGGCTATGACACCATTTGTCGGATCGCGAGGAGGAGCGTCAACGTTGGGGCAAGAGCAATACACAAGCGAGAGAGACACCACGTATATATCCACCTAAAACCTTAAGGCTTTGGGTGAATATGTGGTGTCTTTCTCACTTGTTTTGCTCTTGCCCAATGTTTATGCTTCTCCTCATTATCTAACAAATGGTATCATAAGTCTTTGATTTGAGTAAATGGACTGACTTACTTGTATTGAAATGCCTAGGAAGAGGTGTCATGTTGAAATCAAAATGTTCAGGAATAGGTGTATCAAAATGCCCAAGAAAGAGGTGTCAACTGCGGTACTAGTGCATGTGGACAAAAAAGTTTCTACTTCAGGGAGCATTATGGACTCGCACTTCAGGGGGAATGTTGAGAATAATAAGTCAAGTATGAGTTGGAGTCTCACATTGGTTATAAATGTTGAGACTTGAGCATTTATAAGTTAAGTATGAGTTGGAGTCCCACATTAGTTATAAATGTTAAGACTTGAGCATTTATAAGTGGGAGAACACACATACCTATCACCTTAAGGTTTTATGTGGATATGCGGTGTCTCTCTCACTTATGTATTACTCTTAACCCAATATTGATACTCTTCTTAAATGGTGTCTCTCTCACTTATGTATTACTCTTAACCCAATATTGATACTCTTCTTAAATAGATCAAATAATGATAGAATACGATATTTCATCAATGTACGACCCTCATTTTAATAATTAAGTTTTTTTCACATTAGTCATACCTCCTATTCAATATTGTTGTCATGCATTATTGGTATGACTAATATTAGTCATGGAACAACATTTGAAAATCAAAATCTTGAATATTTATTATACAAAAAGTAAAAATAAAATTGGCTGAATGAAATAACTTAATTGTTATGTGTTATTTGAGTGTATAACATATTTTTCCAAAATTCACTTTTTAGTGGTGAAATTTATATTTATTTATGTATTAATACGTTTTTAATATTTAGAAATAAATAAAAAGTAAAAAATATTTAAAATATTATAAAAGAAATATTGTTTAAGTGGGATGAGTGATGTATCTCAACTATTTTGTGATAGTTGAATTAAATGAATGTAAAGTGAATATCTAGTAACATCTAGCAACAATATTTATTTATATTTAATGTGAGTAAACTAGGTGGTCTCCAAAAATATGTTTAAATAAACCATATATCTAAATCTAATTGCACAGAAAAAATATTAAATTATTTAAATAGTTAATAAATTAAATTATATATTATAAACAATTTAGATAACTAAATTTATGTTAAAAATTAATTAAAACCGTTTAAGTATTTGTTTTAAACAAATATTATTTGAAAAATTGAAATTAAAAAGAAATAAATGAACAATTTTATTTTTGAAAAATTAAAAGAATATTTTGAAAACAAAATTTTTTCACTGAAAATTAACAAAAAAAATCATTGAAAAATAAAAATAAAATCTAAAAATCAAAAATATATTTTTGAAAATATAGAAATATAATTTTTATCAAAATTTAAAAAAAATCCTAAAAATAAACAAATAATTTTTCTAGAAAATAAAAAAAATATCTTTAAAATAATTTTTTTTCTTCTGAAAATAAAAAAATAGTTTTTAAAATAATTATTTTATTTTTGAAAACAAAAAATAATCGAAAACAAATTGATTTTTAAAAGAGTTTTAAATATGAACTTAGTTTATAAATGGAAATTCATTACTGTATAAACTAATTTATAAGAACAAATAGATTTTAAATTGAATTAAAACTATTTAAGTAATGAATCAGTTTTTTTTAATGAAGTGTTTATTGAAGGCCGAACTAAACCATTAATTCATTAATGTGATTTATTTTGAATAAACTGGTGAGTGATTCTTCAAGGGAGTTTAAATTTAATTCATTCAAAGAAAAATGGTACACTTATTAAAAAAATTGATAATTGTAAAAAAACGAATGTTATTGGAAATATCCAAATTGGATATGATTTTTTAATAACCTTTGCGATTTAGATTGAATTTTAAATTGATTTTTTAAATCTGATTCAAATCAAATATATATATATATATATATATATATATATATATATATATATATATATATATATATATATATATATATATATATATATATATTAGTATAATATGTTGTGTTAATTTATTATTAAAAAATATTTATATTTTAAAATAGGATCATGCTAACCAGTGCCTTCAGGGCACTAATTAAGAATTTTAAATAAGGAAAATATGTTATATTTAGAGCATTAAATACACATATATTTTAAAAAAAAGTATTTTCAATCTCTTAAATAATACCCAATTTACCATTTTAATCTATTAACCAATGCCCTGAGGGCACTCGTTAGCATTTTCCTTTAAAATATTATTTATCAATTGATTTTATTTATTTATTTTTTATTATTTAATTTATTTTAATTAATATTATATTTGAGTAATGTTAAATTTATAAATAAAAAATTTGTATTGAGAAAAACAATAAATTCATTAATTATAATTTTATATGTATTTTAATACACAATTTTTAATAAATTTTTATTATATTTATTTTTTAATTTGTGCCCTTAGAGTACAAGAGCACAAATAATCATTATCCATTAATTTTTAATATTAATTTTTTAATATAGTTATATCAAATTTAATATTTATTAGTATTTGTATAATATTAATAAAAAAATATAATTTATAATGTAAATATTATAAAATGAATTCAAATCAAATTGTATGAATTTGAACCGTAAATAAATTTATCATTAGATGAAATAATATTTATTATTTGATCTCAAAATCGATCTAAACAGGATTAGTAACCATCTTGTTTGTTATTGTGATCCCAATTTGTATCACATGTTTGCGCGTATTTGGTGAAGAAAATGTTAATCCTTTTGATTAGTTAGCTGATTAGTTACCAACTTTGCGTGTAACGTTTGAAAGGTTATGCTTCTCTCCAAAAACCAGAGTTACAAAATCACCAAAACCAGTACTAGAAAACAATGGACAAAACAAATCAAAGAAAAACTGAGTAATCTAGAATAACAGTTGTAAAAGGACCCTTATCTGCGTTTCTCATCCCATTCATCATGGCTTTGCATCGTCTTATAAATAAGCGTTGCTTGGAATTCTTACTCTCAAACTTTCCAACCTCATTTTATGCTATGTCTTGTTGAGTAGCATAAAGTTTCAAAATTATTATTGCCCTTTTCCTTCTGCAACATCCTGCTACTTTTTCACCTTTTAACAACCCCATCGCTCTCACTCTCTCTCTCTCTCAAGAATGAACAACAACATCAATGGTTGGGTAGAAGAAAGAGAAGGTGAAAACACCACTACTTCACCTTCATCTTGGCCTAATACCAACCCAAACACTCCTTCACCTGCTTCTACTTTACTCCAAAACAAACAACATTTCGCTGCTTTCAAAACCATGCTTGAAATCGACGATGATGATGAATGGTACATGAAAGACATGGCTTTTCCGCCTAACTTAGATACCGTTTTACTCAACACCGTTGATTCCGTTTCTTCCTCTTCGTGTTCACCTTCTTCCACCGTTTTCAACGCACTTGATCCTTCACTGTCCAATCTTCAGTATCTTCTTCCTCAAAATCACAAACCCGTTGACACCCTTTCTTCTCTTCTCAACAACCCTTTTGAGATTCCATGTGAAGCTGGTTTTCTTGAACCTCAAGGTTCAGCATTACCTCCTTCTCCAAAAATGGGTAGTTTGGTTGATTTCACAGCTACAGAGATGATGAGCTTGCCCCATTTGGCTCAAACTAGCAATGGCTTCATGGGGTTTCAGAACTCGGAAGAGGGTTCTGGAAAGTCGCTGTTTTTGAACAGGCCCAAGGTTTTGAGACCGCTTGATTCTTTGCCTCCTTCTGGAACACAGCCTACTCTCTTTCAGAAGAGAGCTGCACTCAGAAAAAACATGGGCAAGGGTGAAATTGGGGAAGGGAGTGATAAGAAAAGGAAGTTCAGTGGTGGAGATGAAATTGAAGATTTGAGTTTTGATGGGTCTGGTTTGAACTATGATTCTGATGATTTCACTGAGGGTAATCGCAAAACCCGTGGAAATGCTTCCAATGGTAACAGCGCTGTCACTAATCAGAAAGGGAAGAAGAAAGGAATGCCTGCTAAGAATTTGATGGCCGAGCGTCGCCGCAGGAAGAAGCTCAATGATAGACTCTATATGCTGAGGTCTGTTGTTCCAAAGATTAGCAAAGTAAGTGTTTTTATCTTTTGCAACCTCTTTAATTTCAAATTTTCAAGTTCTTAGAGTGTTCATGATTTATGATTCTTAAAGAATTTGACATGTGAATCATTGTTTATATAATCAAAGACGGATTATTATAGTTAGGTAATTGAAAGCTTTAATTTTGTTATTTTGTTGCTGTGATTTGTGGTGGATCTATGGATTCTGTGACATGTTTTTTGCTTTGATAGATGGATAGGGCTTCAATTCTTGGGGATGCAATTGAGTATTTGAAGGAACTTCTGCAAAGGATCAATGACCTTCATAATGAGTTGGAATCAACACCTGCTGGATCTTCACTAACACCAGTTTCAAGCTTCCATCCGTTGACACCGACTCCATCTTCGATGCCGAGCCGTATCAAAGAAGAACTATGTCCCAGCTCATTGCCAAGCCCCAATGGACAGCCTGCCAGGGTAATGTTGTTTGGTTGTCCAATGCTGGAACTTGTCCTTTTGCTTACATATCTGCTCAAATTCACATTGCTTTCTGACTTTTTATTCCTAAAACTAGAAATAGTGATGTGTATATTGACAGATAGCAAATTTGTATGTGGATCTTGTGATTGCACGCAATCACTCACATCTTGATCGTACAATGAAGATCAAACGATATAGATGTGACTGGCTGCATGCAATCACAACGTATAATTGTACGCAATCTAAATCTTTTGTTTATGCTTTAAAGTGGAACTAGCTTCTGCTTGTTTTGGGGTAGAAATGGAATGAGTCAAGTATCTTATTATTCTTTTTTATCTTGTTTACTGTTATCAATCTTGGTTTGATACTAGGTTCATATACACATTTGAGCATTTTCGTAGTTATTAGAATAATCTAACATAAAATTTTCTTGATACCATTTTGCAATTGTTATTTTCACTTTTTGTATAGGTTGAGGTTCGGTTACGGGAAGGAAGAGCCGTAAATATCCACATGTTCTGTGCTCGCAAACCTGGTCTGTTACTTTCAACCATGAGGGCTATGGATAGCCTTGGATTAGATATTCAGCAAGCTGTTATAAGCTGTTTCAACGGATTTGCTATGGACATTTTCAGAGCCGAGGTAAAAAATTTGTTCTGTTATCTCATGGAAAGTATATATATGTAATAATCAAAATCGCAGCCATTGTTCGAAGTTGTTTATTTTTTGTGATTGAGGTATGAAAACTAACCTCTTTTTTCTTACAGCAATGCAAAGAAGATCAAGATGTTCATCCGGAGCAAATCAAAGCAGTACTCTTGGAATCAGCTGGTTTCAATGGCATGATGTAATTAGTTTAGGCAACAAACAAACTAGTAATTTTCATTTCAAGTTATCAGTTTTTACATTTTAATATGAGAACAATTCAAGTGTATGATACTGGCTCTTGTGAATTCTGTTTAAGTTGAATACCTTGGATTACAAGGAATTTTCAGGTGAATGCATGGATTTTATCTGCTCAAATAATTTTGTTTGGTACCTTCTACAAGTTTTGATTGTGAAGATTGTTTTATTTTTTGTTTTTTCAAATAATGAATGAATGAAAATCAAGGTTACTAATGCAATGACCGTTGGTAATGGGTCCTTAATAATAATGGTAATATATACAACAATGTCTTTGCGGATATTTGTGGTCCCAATCATAAATTAGAAATTTGAACCTGTATAAGAACTATTTTATGTTTACTAAAAATGGTTTTATTAGTGGATATTTAATATGAAGTTCATTTAAGAATAAACTTTGAAAATTACCATATTAAATGAATCTAGTTGTAGTTGGGTTTGGAGACCTTTATTCTCTCCCCTAGAGGTGGCTTGTCACGAAAGCCATAAATGAATATACAAGGAAACTAGGACCACATTACCATTAGAATGTTTTGGATCGAGGGATTTTCTAGAAAAGGAAATAGTATTTTTAAAGGGTAATAATGTTTACTTATGTTTTAAGAGTATTAAGACACCTTCAAATAAAAATTATGTTAAAAAAATTACTTATCAATTTTTAATAAAATTAATGCACAATTTTTCATAAAAAATATCTATATTTAATTTTTAACTTATATCCTTAAACATCCGTTAAAATATATTTTTTTATAGATAAAACTTAAGTGTATTTTCTCGCGTTTCATTTAAAATACTTTTTTTAAGATAAAGACTATTTTTCTAACTACAACAAACTTCACAATGAAAATTATGCATTTGAATTTGTAAACATAATCAGAGTGTAATGAATCCTCAAACTCATGTGGTTGTTTGACATACACTTCTTCAGTAAAGATTTTATTTAAGAATGCACGCTTAACATCCATTTGGTATATTATAATTTCATGATTAATAACATAAGAGATAAGTAACCTGGTAGCATCTGATGCAAAGGTTTCAGAGAAAACTATACCTTTTTACTGATTGTAACCTTATTTCTTACCACATCTCCTTACTCATTGAACTTGTTTCTGAATACCCATTTTGTTCCAATAATGTTCTTCTACAATGGTTTGGGTATCAGATTCTAGACATCATTTCTTTGAAACTAATTAAATTCTTCTTATATTGCCACAATCCAGCCATCATCAAAAAGTGCTTCATCAACAGAATTAGGCTCAGTCATGGAGAGTATTCCTAGCATTGAATGCTCTTCTCTGAAGGCAAACCCTATCTTTCTATGGTTATCTTTGTTTTCAAGAATTAACTCTTCTGGATGAGAAGACTTGTACTTGAAGGTTTTCTTGGATTGTGAAGCATCTGAGGATCCATCTTATGCTTCTTCAGATGCTTCATCATCTGAATGAGCTTCTGATGTAGGATTAACTTCTGGGTTACCAAATTATGAAGTTTTGATAGCTTATGAACATTCAACTTCTAGATGGATTGTTCGCTTCTGAACTTCCAGCTTCTGGACCTCTAACTCCTGATGTGTCTTCAAATACATAAATTTCTATAAAAAATTGAACTAGCTCTAACATCTTACTGTCAGGTTCTTTGTCATTAAATTTAATGTGTATTGATTTTTCAACCATATTGGTTTCAGAGTTATACATCGTGTATGCCTTAGAGCGTTTAGAGTATCACAAAAAGATACCCTTCTGAGCTTTAGCATTAAATTTCTTCAGATAGACTTTATTGTTTATAATATAACATGTACATCCAAATTGATGAAAATAAGAAATGATTGGCTTTCTTCCCTTGAACAGCTCATATGAAGTTTGTTGAAACAAGTTTGGTTCATACCACACATCCTCCAAGGTTTTAATGATAACAAAGTATTTTAAAATCAATTAGGATTTCTAACTAGCAAGTTTGTGTGGGCATAATTATATTTACTTGATGGAACTGGTTCTGACACTGAAACGACTTTGGTTTGGTTTTGATCATGCTCTCTCAAGGAAGTATGATCAGAAAAGCAACTACAGTTTACTCCAGCTCATAAGCGTGTGATGCTGCCTCTGATGTTGAGTAATGTGAAGTCAGTTCTACTAACACAAGACTCAAGATTTATTGACATTATCTTCTACAGGTTGTGTTATAATTGAACCATAGTTGTATCCTCTGGACAAAGGCCTTGTTTCGTGGATATTCTTGTGATTGAAATTTCCAACACTTGCTTTATTGGAAAAGAAGATGTACTAGAAGATTTGATTTGTTTGTAGCCGTTGAAGATGCTCCAACATCTCTATTATCTTTGGCTATAAAAAGTAACTGAAGAATTGAAGATCAACTAAGAAGTAACGCTGCAAATACAACTGAGAAATACACGCACTATCAGAAAGCTGAGTAAGTTAAAAGTTCTTCTTCATGTGTTGATTAAGAATATTTGTAAAAGTGTGTTGTATTATTTTTGAACACCTCTGAAATTTATCACGTGTTTGTTGTAAGTTATTCCTTCTCTAAACTATCTGTTTAGATATAAGTCTATTGTTGTAGGCTTGAGCAAGGTGAAGTCTTAGATACGAGCTCTAAGCAAAGAAAAGTCTTAATCAAAAGTTGGCTAAGCAAGGGAAAGTCTTAGGTCTTAGACACGAGCTCTAAGTAAGGTAAAGTCTTAGATAGGAGGTCTAAGAAAGATAAGTCTCAGTCAGAAGCTGATTAAGCTGAGGAAAATCTTAGGCACGAGCTCTAAGTAAGGGAAGTCTTGGATAAGTGGTCTGAGCAAAAAGAAAAGTCTTATACAAGTGTGTATAAGCAAGTGTAATCTGCTTGATTATATTGGAAAATCTCTTTCTTGGCAAGGGGACTGAAGTACTCTCAGTTGGGAGAGGAATCAAGATAACTACTGTGTGTTCTTTGCTATTTTTACTTTACTTCTATTTCTAATTTCGCTGCATCCTATCAAATTCTGAACTCAGTTTTTAGAATCTGAACTCTGGTTCTTGAGTAAATCTAATTTTTGCAAAACACAATTCAACTCCTTCCCCCCTTCTTATGTATTTTTCTCACCTTTAGATTTCTGTTTAGAATATGTCTAATATATATTCCATTTTGAACATAACATGTTGTGTTTACACCTTCTGCCCACAAGTACTTGGGTAAGTCATTTTCATGGGTCATGGTTCTGATCATTTCTTGTAAAGATCTGTTCTTTCTCTCAGCAACTCCATTTTGATGTGGAGTTCTATGAGAAGATAACTCATGGAGAATTCCATGTTTTCACACTAAAATTCAAATGGATCATTTTCAAACTCACCACCATGATAACTCTTACCTTTAAAATTTTAGATTCTTTTTCAATTTGTACTTGTGTGTAGAAGATGCTGAACACATCATATGATCCATCCTTGGTTCTAAGGAATTTAACCCAAGTTCATCTGCTATAGTCATAAACAATGACTATACCATATTTCTTCCCATTGTTTGATGCAATCCTAACATAACAAAACAAATCAATGTAAACAAGTTATAAGGGTCTAGAGGTAGAGACAATATTTTTATATTTGAAAGAATTTTGACTTATTTTCCCTACTTGACATGCTCCATAAAGAGCATCTGAGTGATAATTGTGATATGGCAATCCTTTAACAAGTTTCAACTTGCTAAGTTTAGAGATTAATCTCAATTTAGCATGACCTAATCTTTTGTGCTAGATCCATTTCTCATCACTGACTGATAGAAGGAAAAATACCTTTTGATCAACCAATTCAGAAAAATTAATTTTATAAACATTGTCATTTCTCTTACCTTTGAACACTATGAACTTGTCAAATTTATTTATGACGACTATACAATTGTTCTTATTAAACATGGCTCCATAACCACTATCACAAAATTGATTAATGCCCAGTAGGTTATGTTTAAGTCCAACTACAAACCAAATATTATTAATTGAACAGTTAAATATACGTTACCCCCTACAATGTGAGTGGATTTTGATTTATCCCCTGTAAAAAAAATTAATTTTCCTTTGTAATGTTTAGATTATATTTCCCATTTGGTGACGTGGCAACAATAGAATCTTCATATATGTTGACTTGGCAGATCACATGGTTTTTTTTATATTTTTTATTTTTTTTAAATCCACGTGGATTTTATAATTTTATAATTTTTTATTTTTTTTAAGTATAGTAGTTGTTAATTATTTTTTTAAGTGTATGAACGTTTTTGTTTATTTATTTTAAATTTATACATATTTGTACATTTTATTTTAAATATATACTTTTAAATTAATTTTTACCATTTATTTAAAATTTATACTTTCAAATTAATGTATATGTTTTCTTAATTATTGTTTCATTAGATAATTACCTTTATTTTAATATTTTGACAAATTTTCTCTCAATATTATGTATGCATTTTCTAATATTTGTTGTCAATATCATTTATTTTCTTAATAACTTTCTTAATTTGTATAATTACCTTTATTATATTCTTGTTACAAAATTTTTATCAATATTATTTTGGCAGGTATTATTCAATCTATGGACATGTGGAGAGACTAGCTGAAAAAATAAAGAAAAGGGTGGATTTTGTTGATGGTGTTGAGGCCAAACATTGATAGGTACCAGAAATATTAGTAGAAGAGGAGCTTGGTAAGATGAGACCACCAGCCAAGAGTGATATACCAATCATTACATCAAATGTAAGAAGAGCCTTTACCCCAATATATTATATATGATTGTGTGAATGAAATATTTATGGTGGATTTAATGCATGGAAAATTGACAATTGTAACTCAATTAATTCATCATGGCATGCTAATTGTTCCAATTGGTTATACATTTGCTGATTGAAAGTATGAGATAGAAGAAGTGAAAGATGGAAGTCCATATGATTCAGTAATATATGATGGAGGTGATGGATC